TATATCCTTTACCCTCTCCTATTTATAAAAAATTTGTCTTGAATATTTCCTCTACATGCATCAGGTACCATATCAAACCATGTTATAATTTTTGCTTCAACCATCAAACATAATTTAGAAAACTCCAAAAAAGTCAAGTCTATTGTATTTATCCATACTTTTACTCTTTATTTTATTCTTCCTTCTTTTTTGAAGTTCCAAGAATCCTTCTTTTATCACTTTCTTCCTATTTAAAGAACTACATTTAGCCATTCTTTTAGTGTATGTCTACTGGCTACAAATTCTCTTAGTTTTCTTTGAGAATTTTCTGATTTTCCACTTCATTCAGAAGACACTTTTTGAATGTGCCTCTGGTATATTTTAGATTGAAATAGGATTTGGGGTTGACAGTTTTTTGGTTTTTTTTTTTTTTTTCCAGCACTTGAAAAATGTTGTGCCATTTCTTCTGGCTTCCATGGTTTCTGATAAGAAATATGCTGTCATTCAAATCATTCCTGCCACCTTACTCCCCCAAAAGTAAAATGTGTCTTGGAGCTTTACACATTTTTCCTTTGTCTTTAGTTTTAAAAGGCTTGACTATATGTGTTTGTGTGGACTTTCTTGTGTGGGTTCATCTTGCTTGGGGTTTGCTTAGCTTAGTGAATGTACAGTTTGTTTTTGTCAAATTTGTGGAATTTACAGCTATTACCTGTTTGAGTACTTTTCAACCACACCCTCTTTCTCTCTTTGTGGGATTTGGATGACATGAATATTAGCTCTTTTGTTATAGTCCCACAGGCCTTTGAGGTTCTGTTGTGGTCTCCAGTCTGTTTTCTCTCGGTTGTTTTGATTGGGATTTTTTTTTCTTTTTTAAAGATTTTATTTATTTATTTGACAGAGAGAGACACAGCGAGGGAGGGAACATGAGCAGGGGGAGTGGGAGAGTGAGAAGCAGGCTTCCTGCTGAGCAGGGAGCCCGACACGGGGCTCAATCCCAGGACCCTGGGGTCATGACCTGAGCCAAAAGAAGACACTTAACAACTGAGCCACCCAGACACCCCTGATTGGGAAATTTCTATTGTATCTTCAAGCTTACTGATTTATTTCTCTGCATTCTGCTGTTGACCTTATCCATTGACAGTTTTACTTCAGTTATTGTATTTTTCAGTTCTAAAATTTTCAGGTTCTTCATCAGATTTTCTGTTTCTTTGCTGAGACTTTCTATTTTTTTCATTTGTTTCAAGCAAGTTTGAAGCATTTTTTTGTGGTTGTTGCTTTAAAAATCCTCTTAATTTTAAATTTTTGCCATTTCAGTGTCTTATCTTTTCCTCCATTGAGGTTTCCTAATTCTTGGTATGATTTTAGACTGAAACCTGGACATCTGAGTGTTAGGTCATGAGACTCTGGCTTTTATTTAATTCTTCTGTCTTAGCAGGTCTCCTCTGACATCATTCCAGTGGGGGGAAGCAGAATGCTGTTTCATTACTACCAAGGGCAAATGGAAGCCCAGGCTTTCTACTTGGCTTCTGCTGACACCTGAGTGGGAAGGGCTCTTCATTACTGTTGGGTGGTAGTATGGGTTCAGGCTCCCCAGTAGGCCTCCACTAACACCTGAGGGCAGGAGCTCCTTGTTACTCCTGGGCAGAGGTGGGCCTGGAAGCTCCCACCTGTGTCTCCACCAATATCGACTTACTGTTCTCCATGTGGTCTCCACTTAACCCATGTGGGAGAGACCTTGTTATTGCTTAGCATCACTGCAAGTCCCGGTTCCTCACCTGGTCTTGTCTGACATCACTCCAGTGGGGCACTTCATTATAGCCTGATGTGCCTAGATGTTTAAGCTTCCTACCTGGTTTTCCTAGCAGGGGTGAGACACTTTTTTTCTGTGGTGTTTCTGGAATAGAGTGGTTATTGTTTAAAATTTTTCTGTGTTGCTAAGCTGCCCCCGTCCTGGCTCTGACTAGTGTAATGGGTTGAACAGTGGCCCTCCAAGAAGTATGTTCATGTCCTAATTCCCAGAGCCTGTATTATCTTATATGGCAAAATATGTGATTAAAGATTTTGAGGAGTTATCCTAAAGTATAAGGATTGGCCCTAAATCCAACAATAAGTGTCCTTACAGAGACAGGAGAGATCTGACAAATAGGAGAGGAGGCAATATGACCACATATACAGAAACTGGACAGATGTAGCCATAAGCCAAGGATCACCTGGAGCCCCCAGAAGCTGGAAGAGGAAAGGAACATATCTCCCCCAGGAACTCTGGAGGAAATGCAATCATGCCAGCAACTTGATTTCTGATTTCTGGCCTCTAGAACTATGAGAGAATACATTTGTGTTGTTTTAAGCCACCTGGTTTGTGGTAATTTGTTCCAGTTTGGCACTGAGAAGTGAAATGCTGCTATAAAGAATCCCTAAAAATGTGGAAGTGGCTTTGGAATTAGATAATGGATAGAGGCTAGAGGAGTTCTGAGAGTGTGATAGAATCAGCCTAGGTTGCCTTAAGCAGACTACTGGTATAAAAATGGACATTAGGGGAGCCTGGGTGGCTCAGTCAGTTAAGTGTCCAACTCTGGATTTCAGCTCAGGTCATGATCTCAGGGTTATGAGATCGAGCCCCGTGTTGGGCTCCATGCTCAGCACAGAGTCTGCTTAAGGTTCTCTCCCCCTCCCCCCAACCCCTGCTCATGTGCATGTGCTCTCTTAAAAAAAAAAAAAAAAAAAAAAAAAGGACAGTAAAGACATTGATGAGGGCTCAGAAAGTGAGGAGCATGGTAGATAAAGCTTCTATCATCTCAGAGAATACATATATCATCATCAACAGAATGCTGGTAGAAATATGAATGTTACTTGGCTGAGCTGTATTCTGCCATTATGTGGAAAGCAAAACTTGTAGGCAATGAACCTGGATGTTTAGCTGCTCAGATTTCCAAGCAAAGTGTTGAAGGTGCAGCCTGATTTCTCCTTGCTGCTCACAGTAAAATGCAAAAGGAAGGACATGAAGGACTGTAAAACAAAAACAAAAACAAAAAACCAGCACTTGATGATTTTCAAGGTTTTCAGCCCATTCAGATTGCAAAAGATGCTAAAATTAAGAAATTCACTATTGGAAAGGCATCCTCTGCAGAGTAGGACAAGGGTGCAGCTGGACTAAGTGTGTGACTCATAGACTCACTCAAGCATCTCAGCAGAAGCCAGGAATTGAGATGGGGTTGCCTAAGAAAGATCTGGGCTTTTTGTCTAATGGTATGTAGACTCTCCGAACATACACAGGAGACCTGCAACATTTTTGAGAATATCACAAAAACCAGCTTGGACTGAAAGGGGCAGAGAGAGGATGAAAAGAGATGTCTGTTGGACTTCCAATTCTTCAGGCTGAGAATGGTTGGTAAGAGTCACTCACTTACATATGCGCGCCTTCAAGGGAAAGTGGAATGATTCTGAGGGCATACATTTGGATACAAAGACAGAGGCTGGAGGAGGACGCACAGAAACAGAGGCCGATGAGTCACTGTGGGCACAAACTCGAGGCCTATGGAGCTGGCGTGGGCCCAGCGGGCAGAGCCTCAAGTGACACAGAATGATTCTCAAGACTTGATACCTAATGGAATTTGCCTAGCTGGATTTCAAGCTTGCTTAGGTCTGGTGACTCCTTTATTCCTTTCAATCTCCTCCTTTTGGAACAGGAATATCTATTATATGCATATCTCACCATTGTATCTTGGAAGCAGGTAACTTGTTTTCTAGTTTCACAGGTCTACAGATGGAAGACTTTCGACCCAGATGGTTCATGCCAAATCTCCCCGAATGTGATGAGGATGATGAAATTCAAGACTTCTGAGCTGACGACATTTAGACTTTGGTCGTGGAGCTGGTTCTGTAATGGGTTGAGACTTCTGGGGATGTTGGGATGGGGTGAATGTATTTTACGTGTGGGATGAGCATAAATTTTGAGGGGCTAGATAGTAGACTGGAGTGGGTTAAATGGTGGCCCCCGCTGGAAGAAATGTCCACATCTTAAATTGCAGAATCTGTGAATATTGCCTTACATGGCAAAACGTGATTAAATGAAGGGTCCTGAGACGAAGAGCTTATCCTGGATTATCCAGATCAGCCCTAAATTCAGTCCCAACGGTTCTAATAATAGGCACACAGGGGAGATTTGACAGGCAGAAGACGAAATGGCAATATGACCATGGAAGCAGAGATGCAGCCACAAGGGATCACCTGGACTCCCCAGAAGCTAGAAGGAGCAAGGAAAAGAATCTCCCCTACAGTCTTCGGAGAAAGCGCTGTCCTGTCAGCACCCCGATTCCAGACTTCTGGCCTCCAGAATTGTGAGAGACCAATTTCTGCTGTGTTAGGCCATGCAGTGGGTGGTGATTCGTTACAGCAGCCCTGGGAGTCTAATACCACTAGAGGGAGCAGGCTCTTTAGTTGTGCCTGTTGGCTTCTCCAGCGCCCAGCTGGGGACAGATGAAGCAAAAGGAAAACCCAAGGAACTCACCACCATGTCACTGCTCAGGTCCAAGGTCTCCAGCTGCTCTTTGGCCTTCTACCTTTCAGCAACTTCTTATATTTGCTTATAAAAAATGCTGAAGGACTTTAGTTATATTTAAAGGGAGGATTGGGGAAAGTACATCTGCTTCTGTTCTCGGAAGCAGAAGTCCTACCTCGAGTTTTCACTTTTTAAAAAATCAATTAGCATATCCCAGTTACATTAGTCTTTTTAAATCATTGCTTTGGTGATGTCATTTTCTTTTCAAAATTCTTCAGTGACTCCCGAGTGCCTATAAAATAAGCCCATAACCCTTAGCCCAACATTTATTCCCTCCCCAATCTGGCCCCATCCCAGCCTGTCTTTGTGGTATGATTTCCCACTATGCTCCTCATCAGTATTTCCAAAATCATGCTGTATCCAACTCCAGCTCTTTGGGATGTTAATAAATGTTACACTCACATGGTGGGGGGAAAGGCTCTATTGTCCGTGTTCGGTAAACAGATTTACACAGTTAAGGCAGTTTATCATCACAGGACTCTCAGAAACTTTAATAGGCCAGTGTACAATGTGAATCTCCAAGAGACAATTAAAGCATGAAGCATTTCCTAAACTTACTTGACCATGAAACCTGTTGTACTGTTTCCATGGAAGCCAGTTTGTGAAACTCTTCTATTCCAACTTCCTTCTCTGACCAAACTCGCCTATTTGTGCTCATCTGAACTCGTCTTACTTTCCTGCTTTAATATACAGAAGTTTGGTGAAATGTCAAAGAAGCAGTGCTAGAGCTACATGGCACCATTTGATCCATGTGCTATTCAATTTCATGACATCTTCCATTAAGTTGGTTTTCGAGTTCCTAAGTCCTAACCATAAATATTGTAAAAATAGATTGTGGAACCCAGTACAAATGTTTGAGTTACGTTACAAAATATAGAAACTATTTTTTAAATAAATCAATTTAATAATACTGCTAGATGATATGAGAAGCAGGGGCCCCCCCGTCCCGCCACCGGCCCCACACAGCTGTGTCTGAGCAAGTTCAGGTGTGGGCACGGCGGCCGGCAGACGTGGGGCTGACAGGTATGCTTTTCTTCTTTCCTTCTTCCCCACGATGACTCGCTCCCAGGTGGTCTCTGGGACCCGAAGGAAGGAAGCGGCTCGTCTGCACTAGCTCTCGCGAGTCACTCTGTGGCTGAAAGGGCTGTGGCGGGGAGAGCTAGTGTTCACCTACAACCTTGCCGAGGGGGCACAACCACCAAAGTCGTCGGTAAAAGGGAAATTTTAGCAGCAGTGAAATGAAAAGAGGAAGAGAAAGGATGGGGCCAGGCAAGTCTATGATTTAAAAGTCTGTTTGGTTCCAAATCCAGATGAAACACTAGCTGTGAGGACAGGTGGATCAGGGCCTCTGGAGATCAGGAAGGTCGGGAGAGGACAGGCTGACATCGAGTGTCCTTCACACTGGGTCCTGAAAGAGTCCCGTCAGACATTTGTCCAGTGGTCTGTGGGGCAAGTACCTTGAGCACTTTTTGAGAGCAGAGGAAGCAGCTCGTGCCTGGCATCAGTGTTCGCTGAGCCTCTGTGATGGAGGACTTCCAGTGTGCAGACAAGTTGCTGGTAGTGCCCACAGAGGGCCACACGCCTGGCCCGTGGCCAATGTCTCAACTCGTGGGGAAGTGACAAGATCTTTGGGTGCCGAAGACTTCCGGGACGTCATTAGAGCAGGGGCCACCGTGGGAGGACCTCAGGCCAGGCAGCCCCCTCAGGTCAAGGCCACCCACACAGTCAAGAGGCCTGTTCCAGGCTATTCTGCTCCTCTTCTTCCGTCTGTAACCAGCTCCAGTCTAGAGACTGAAAGTCAACAGGCACGTTAAAAATACATTGGCCACCAATACACCTCAGGTTGTTTGTCTTCCTCAGGAGGCGACCAGTACAGTTCAGAAGGAAATTTAAATCCTCTCATTCATAGCAGTCTTGTTATTTTAGGCCACTCTTGGGCTAAAGCTACATTTTCAAAACCGTACACGAACTTTCCTTTGGCCTAGCATGAAGTCCCTCAGATGCTGTGACTATGGAAACTAGATGGGAAGTTTTAGTATGACCTGGGGCTCACAGCACTTGTTTATGCTCGCTGTGGGTAGGTGGTACCAAGAGCTAACCTCAGCTACCCATTTCCAACCCTACCAGATGAAATGGCCTGATAAGACTTCCTTTTCCTCTGGCAGAAGTGCAACTCAGCAGTGAAATGCTCCACATACACCCTTGTCAGGAGGAGGACGAACAGCGACGAAGAACAGAGAAAGCCCCAAACCAGAGCGGACACTCGAATAAATAAGAAGTGATTACAATTAGTAGTGGTATCCCGTCTGATTCCTCTGACAACTGAGAAGTTAGGGGGAGATTGGCAGGTCACTGTCTTGGCAGGAAAGGGCCTTTTAAAATCTGAGGAATGACTTAGGGTCCTCTCAGCAAGGTAAGCTTTGCCTTAAAATGTACCTGTGTCTTGACTCACTTTTCGTCAGCTTAGCTTCCCTTCAACGAGTACTACCTACTGCTATGAATAATAATAATATGTACTAGAAAAGCATAAGCATATACTGAGACAGAGGACATGCTGGATTGCCTTTCTGTTTTCTTTTTCTGGTTTGCCGTGGAAAGGATGGACATGGTATAGCTGGGATTCACACAGCCCATTACCCTCAAACTCTGGTCCTGTTCTTTGATGGTGTCTTGCATTGCATTTTCTAGCTGGGTGCAGAGAGTATGTGCTTCAGCCACCAGTTCTTCACTAAAGGAAAGGATCACAGTGTTAGAAAATGCTCCGTGTGATTTTTCAGAGATAATATGCTACAGAGCCTTTGACAAGATTTTAAAAATTAAATTACAATTACTTTGATGCTGAGTGTCTTAAAGCACCATGTCCTGACTAGTAATCTCATTCATCTCGTTAAGCACTTTTCAGAAGCCCATACCCAGCCATAAATAAGCATTACCATTTCACACTGTGAAAAAGATCTTTTTCTTTTTTTTTCACTTAAGTTCTTACTTTATTCAGATCTCATTAGTTTTTACCTAATGTCTTTTTTTTATGTTATATTAATCACCATACGTTACATCATTAGTTTTTGATGTAGTGTTCCATGATTCATTGTTTGCATATAACACCCAGTGCTCCATGCAGAACATGCCCTCTTTAATACCCATCACCAGGCTAACCCATCCCCCCACCCCCTCCCCTCTAGAACCTCCAGTTTGTTTCTCAGAGTCCATAGTCTCTCATGGTTCGTCTCCCCCTCCGACCTCTCTTTTTAATAGAAAAGTTAGAAGTAAATGAGCGCTTTCTGACTTAACTAGATAGCTGAATTTAATTCTCTCCAAATTGCCAAAATCTGAAGATATCTCACAAATCACCTGTTTCCCAATTTTTGAAATAGAAAAAAAAATTATATAGACCAAGTAATTTCACCATGTCCACAGATCTTGAGATCTGTGAAAAAGCAAGTTCTAGGAGCTGATTTGATTTAATCCACTCTCTCTTTTCTAGGATAAGAAATGCACATGTCCTTTCAAGAACCGCTGTGGGGAGAGAGGGGAGAGTACAACAAGCCGCTGTCCTAGTCCAACCTCAGCCTCATGACATGGACAGACAACCTCTCCCGGGACAACTTTTCTAAAGCTTCCAGGATATCACTGGAGGGACTATGCCCAATCCAGGAAGACAGTGCCCTGGAACTCTGCTCACCTTGCAAAACATGATGCTCTAATGGAAGGAACACAGACCACATGTTTGCTCAGCCCCTTCCGCGTGGCTACTAACTAGTGTGAAGGCTCAGTGCCAGCTCCAGAGGGCAACGGAAGAGGCACAGGACCCGGTTACCGTCCTCAAGCTCACCGCAGGTTGGGCAGAGTTAAGAATCTAAGGCCACGTATGATTAAGTTCCACAACAGCAGAGGCTATGAACTCCCCAAGCACAGGAACAGGATTTTTAAAACAGCTTTACTGAGATATAATTTACAGACCCTAAAGTTCACCCATTTAAACTGTATAATTAGATAGTTTTAGTATACTTACAGAATTACACAATTTTTACAATCTAGTTTTAAAACATTTTCATCATCTAAAAAGAAACCTTGTTTGTACCCATTATTAGCCCTTTCCCATCCCCCCTCCACCTGCCCTAGGCAATCAATTTTTTTTTTTAAAGCTTTTATTTGTTTGACAGAGAGAGAGACAGTGAGAGGGGGAACATAAGCAGGGGGAGTGGGAGAGGGAGAAGCAGGCTTCCTGCTGAGCAGGGAGCCCGATCCCAGGACCCTGGGATCATGACCTGAGCCGAAGGCAGACGCTTAACGACTGAGCCACCCAGGCGCCCCTCATTAATCTATTTTCTATGTCTGAAGACTGGGTCACGGGAATGATTTCAACCATCACCAGTGCCTAAGGCCCAACACACAGAAGGTGCTGAAGAAACTTCGTGGGGCTGAACTAGAAACAACTCCCCCCTCCCGCCCCCAGTGGTCTAAGAAGAGAGAGCTGTGTGTGTGTGAGTGGTCAGGGCACTGGAGGAGGGGGAAACAGAGGTGTCCTGCAGGTGGGAGGACCACCCAGGGCAGGACACTGGCCAGAGGTTCTGGAACTTCAGTGTGCATCAGCAAGCAGCCCAGGCTTCTGAAAAGCTACCTGCTGGGCCCAGCCCTGAGCAGCTGATTCAGCATCTGCATCTCTAACAACTGCCCAGATGCTGCTGCTGTTGCTGGTCTGGATCAGACTCTGCGAACCACTGGGCGAGGCCAGGAGTTTGTACGGGAGGGAATAGGGGATCAGCCTGGAGAGATCAGCCTCAGAGAGTGGCTCCGAGGTGGCCTCAAATGTCCGAAAAGGCTCAGCGTGGATCCTCTAGGGGAGTGGGAAGCCACTGCTAGTTACTGGCCAAGAAAATAACTTGATCCACTCGTAGTCTGTGAAGACTCGTTTGACCAGAAAGGGCTTGGAGGCGGTACTAGACAGGAAGCAGGGAGGTGAAATGCCTTACAGAAAAGGCGGAGACGCTCTGCTCCCCACCTCGGTGGCAGTGGCCCAGGCGACAGGAGGGGAAAGCTAGGGAGGAGTGGGGGGTGAGGACAGGCAGGAGGAGGAAAACCGCAGCTTGGTAACTCAGAGTGTGGGGGGTGAGAGGGATGAGGCAAGATGACCGAGGCGTGGCCAACAGGGCATGCCCTGTGGGGAATCTGGTTTTCAACAACAGGTGATGGCTGACGGGACTAGCACTTCCGATGTCCTCATCAAGCAATTCGTAATCCAACCCTCAGACCACAAAAGTACTTAGCTAGCGAGTTACAAGGGACTTGGAGAGTAAAATACCACATCTGCAGAGCATATGAACCAACACAAAGAAAAACATGCACGAAATCACTAGACAGATGAAATGATCTCTCAATGATAAACATGCATTTCCATTCCCATGACCTCCCAATGCGCCCATGGCTGTCACGCCTGGCACTGAACAGTGACCCACCTTTTCTTGACGGCTTCGGGTAAGCTGTTGGGGGCAGCAGAAGGCTGAGACAACAGCTGACCCGAGTGACTGAGGCGAGAAGCATTCATGCTGTCTGGGCTTCCGCTGACAGGACCACGAACTTTGCTCTAAAGGACAAAACCAAAAGAAAGTCAATAGAATTTGGGAGAAAGGGACAATCCCAATTTTGTATTCACACCATGGGATTTTCTCATGAAACAACTGGTCACAAGACCAGGACATTGGCTATTCCTACAAATTTTTAGTCAACATCCCGACTCATGACCACAGTTTGCATTTTGGCTTGGAAAATCTTTGTGTCTATAGGTGTACTTTTTTTTTTTAAGATTTTATTTATTTGACAGACGGAGAGAGAGAGAGAAACGGCACAAGCAGGGGGAGAGCAGCAGGCAAAGGGAGAGGGAGAAGCAGGCTCCCCGCTGAGCAGGGAGCCAGAAGTGGGGCTCGATCCCAGGACCCCAAGCCGAAGGCAGATGGTATAGGTGTACCTTTTGATAAAAGATTCTAAATTAGGGAGATCTGAGTACCTGTATTCATAGGCTTTATTCACTAGTTTGCTTAACAAACTCTAACAAGGAAATTAAGACAGAGATGGTTTCACTTTTCCAAGCAGAAGACTTGAGACACACAAAAAGCTTGTAAGTGGCCTTCTGTGAACCACATCATCTGTGGGACGGCCGAGAAGAAAACCAAGATGTTCTGACCGCCCCCAGCGGCCCGCTGGCTGCCGCAGCCACTCCACCTCAGTCAAGAGGTTAAACCAGTGGCTCGGGCTCCAGGTGCCTGCCGCCTGCAGACATGACCCACTGTCAACCTTCTCGGCACCTCATGCCCCTCCCCTTTCCACGGCCCCAGCCAAGCGCTCTTCTGTTGGCCTCGCTATCTTCTCGCGGACCCGGCTCCTGTGCTTGCCACAGCCCATGTGACTTCAATCCCACTCAGCCTCGCAAGCTGGGGGACCCACCCTGGTTCCACATCCCTCCTTCCAGCTGAACATCAAGGTCCAGCTTTAACCAGTCAGGCTCCCCCCCCACTTTTGCCCTACTGCTCGTCACCCATGGAGAGACCCAGCCATCCTCCTTCTCCCCTCTGCCTGGGCCTGCGAGTGTGGCAGGAGGGCAGCCCTCCCACTGTCCTGTCCTGTGCAGCCAGGTCTCTGCGACTCCAGCCCCTCTCGGGGGCAAGGTCTGTCCAAGCCTCAAATCCCTTCTCCAGCTGCCATGAGGGATTTCTCCAAAACCCAGATGTGATCAAACCATTCCCATGCTTAACTTCCTGCAACATGGAAGATAAAAACAAATTCTGTGGTGTTTTCTGTGCCTTCAAAACAAAGTGTGGCCTGTGTAAGCATGGCCCTCACCTGCCTCCCCAGTTCATCCCACAGGACACCCTTTCCCCCACACCCCAACACTCTGCGTGTAGCACCCAGAACACACCCACTCTTTCCGGCCAAAGTCCTGGGCCTCTGACAGAGCAAAGTCTTCACTCCTGAAGGTCATCTCCACCTATCCACCTAACTCCTACTCATTCTTCAGCTGAAGCAACACCTCCTTGTGAACGTTCCCTGTGCTTCCCTCCCCTCCAAGACTGAAGCAGGCGTAGCTCTTTGCATTCATGCTACAGCTCAGCTTCTAGCACTAAAGCTGCTGATTAACACTTCCTACCCCCAAATTCAAATTCACTTCCCTGCCCCTCACCAGATTATGAGCTCCTGGGTTGGGCACCATGCTTCTTTCCTCCTTTAGCTCCAGTTTTCATCACATTCCTAGGCTCCTGGGCACATGGTCAGTGCTCAATAAATGTCACATGAATGCAGATGGTGGATCAGGCCATCCCTGGGAATACCTCAACTTCCCTCTCCTTCCTCAATCTTCTCTCCTTGTCATCTCTTTTTTCTTTTCTTCCTTTCTTACAGGAGGAAATGTCACCCACCCCTTCCCAAGGCCACGCATGCTCATCATCATGCTGATACCCCATTGTTCTCAGGACTTAGAGACTCAACTGTCTCTTGCCTCTTTGATTCTGTGAATCTCCCAGTACACTGTCTCCTTCTGCTTGGCCTACAAATCTGCTCCAGTCCATGATCTTAAAAACAACACCCTTGCATCCTGCTTCCACCTTAGGCAACTATCTTCCCATTCTCCTCTTTGCTCTTTAACACTATCAGTGACTTAATCGCTCTTCATCCCAGGCAAGCTCTCTGCAGCCTGCACAGTGTGGTCTCTTTCCCTTCAGCTCTGGCTTTCATGGCCTTTACCTGGCTCTTCTCCCTCTCTGTCTTAGGCTCTTTTTTGTGTCCTGTTTTCTCTCTGAGCAACATGCAGCAAAATCTCAGCTACAGTAAGATGGCGGTAGGGGGGTGGGGGGGAGCAGGAAGCCTGTGTGGCTCAGCTGGTTAAGCATCTGCCTTCGGCTCAGGTCATGATCTCCAGGTCCTGGGATTGAGTCCTGTGTCGGGCTCCCAGCTCAGCGGGGCGTCTGCTTCTCCCTCTGCCTGCCGCCCCCCGCCCCCCAGCTTGTGCACACACTCTCTCTCTCCCTCTCAAGTGAATAAATAAAATCTACAGTAAGACAGTGGGCAAGAAAGTGTGGGTGACAATACTAAGCAGATCCGGATGAGGATCAACCAGGTCATGCAGACATGCCCTGTAGTGGACTGCATGAAGGTCCCCCCAAAAGACCCACCATGTCCTAACTCCAGGAAACTGGGAATGTGACCTTAGTGGAAAAAGGGTCTTCACAGATGCAGTTAAGGATCCTGAGAGGAGATGAGGATCTCCCCAAGAGGGGACCCAAATCCAATGGCAAGGGTACTTATACGAGACACCCAGGAGACAGACACAGAGAAGAAGGCCTTGTGAAGACACAGGCAGACACTGGAGTGATGCGGCCACAAGCCAAGGAATGCCTGGGGCCACCAGAAGCTGGAAGAAGCAAGGAGGGATTCTCCCCTAGAGCTTGCAGAGGGAGCCCCGCCCCGCCAACACCTTGGTTTCAGACGTCCGGCCTCCAGAACCGTGACGGAGTAACTCTGTGGTGGTACCTCAGTACAGGAGCCACGGGAAACGCATGCAGGCAGAAGTAAGAACACCCGGCGCAGGCCTGACTCCGCCCCTCCCGCCCACGCCCGGTCCCGGAGGAGGGCAATGGGAACGCAGTGGCGGCAGCTGAGTGCTTGGTCCGTGGCTCCGTGGTCTCCCTTGGAGGGTGGTGACAGCAGCACAGAGGTGGAAAGGCCCCGAGGAGCTGGCGGGCTGAGGGCTGAGGGCCTGGCCGCGGGGCTCACTCACACAAGCGATCTTCAGGAGATTCCAGAGCTCCTTCTGCCGCTTCTCCTGAAGCCGCACAACAGTCTTCTCATCTTCGTTCATTAAACTCACCACCTCTTCCACTTTGGGCAACAATTCCAGGGCCTTCTGCTTGCAAACCACAGTTTTACTGTAAAGAGTAAACGGGACAAGCTCCAGTGGCACTGGGGTTGGAAAAAGCAGGAGAACATAATCCCTGGGAATTATGAATCCAACAGCAGCTGCAGATAAATTTTCTCCAGGCTAAGCAAGTCAGAGGGGACTGAGAAAATGACCTCACGTGTGGCCTCGCTGCTTCTCCGAACTCCACCCTCGGGAAGGGAAGTCAGGGCGTATACCTGAGCTGCGTGTAAATCACTCGCACTTTCTTCTCAAAGCCTTGGATGGCCTGGAGGAGCAGCCGGACCATCTCCTGACTGTCGCCATCCGTTCGCTGGTCTGGAGAGAGGGACGGAGACGCACAGCTCCTCAAGGCAGCTGACAGAGAGCGCCTACACCACACAATGACAAAACAAGGCCCCCGCCACACACAGAAAGCCCGACATACCTCTGGGTTTTTCCCGAAGTCTCCTGTAAAGCTCCCTCGCCTGCTCTTCTCTGAAACATATGAAGGAGAAGCTCTGTCAAGATGTGAGGTCAAATAAGCACATCTGAAACACTGGTTAGCTAATTTCTGCCAGTACAATTACTGACTTTTAGAAGCAAGACTGGCATTGTCTTGATTGGGGAAAAGTATTACCCCTGGAGACATCATAGGTGATGCCTACAACAAGGAAATGATGGCCCTCGTCATCAAACCTGAACCATCTCTAAGGTTTAATGAAAGTCTCAAGGAAGCGCGTTTCTCCTGTCCCTCGGAATCTCCTCTCCACGCAGCTTCTGCAATAACAACCCCAGTACCATCACTGGGCCTGAGCCCTTGAAAACTCAAGCCCAGGGGCAACGCAATCTCCTATCCCTTTCTGGCCTCCACACAGTGAAACTGGCTGACATTTTCAGAGGTGACTTTCATTTGAAAACGAAAGAGAATAAAGGGTTAAATAATTTAAGAAAATATAGAATCCGGATCATCAGATTTCTGGTATTTGAGCTGCTGGTCCTGAGAACCCTAGTAAAGGCATTAGAGGACCCAGCTGAGCTCAAGCCAGAGCTCCTGAGTCTGATGCAGCTCGCCTGCTTTCCTCCCACCTGCCCCTGGGAGCTCCACGTGATTCCCTTCAGGTAGGATGGTGTTGCCGGGACACCTTATCACCTCCTAGAGCCAAGGCCAAATTCCTGATAAAGACTCAAATGAACAGTTTCTGGGTTCAAACTCTCAAGACCTGGCAGGCTCCTTCTCTGTTGTACTTTCTGCTCTTCGAACCACGCCTGGATCAGGCCGGGCTGCACAAACAGTGACGTCTGATACTGTGGCGAAGGCTGCTTCCATCACAGCCTGTAAGTTTATGAACTCATGCTCTATCTGAATCATCTGAATTGACCTTCACAACTCTGTGAGGTCAGACAGTTCTGCTCGCCGCTGATCGTCCCTTGCTCATCTCTGGAACTCCCCTGGAACATGCCAAGATGCTTCACCAGGGGGTCATGCTCTACAGAATGGTCTCAGAGAGCTGCCATAATAAACGCACTCGAACCCTTGGATGATCACAACACCTGTGCAGAAGCTTGTCTGGGGCGTCTGCGGGTTGGCCTGCTGCCCGGCTGCTACTCACAGGTCGTCCAGCGTGCCCCCCTGCTTCCGCCCCATTGGGCTCCTCTGCAGGTCCACTATGTCAGTCTGCAGCGCCATCATCCGCTCCACCAGGTGCTTCACTTCATTCTCCTAATGAAAAAGCTGTGCTAATGTCAACTGACGTAATAAGAGCCTTCTGAGGCGCAAGATTTGGGGGGAACACCCTCCAAATGCACTGAAGACTCTCGAAAGACTGGCTAGAAGGGATACAGACTTTGGAGTCAGATGGCCTGGGTCTGGAGCCCAGGTCTATCACTTTCTAGCTGTGTGACCCATGGGCAAATCACCTAACCCCTGAGCTGTAGTTTCCTGACTTTTAAGCAAGACTGGCATTGTCTTGATTGGGGAATGTTTCATGAAACCATGAAACAGGCTTCTAAAGGGGCCACTTTAGGGGTTAGATAAGATACAGCATGTAAAGTACCCGGCAGGGTGCCTGGCATAGAGAAGATGCCCAACATGCATCCCTTTCTCTTCCCTTACTTTGTCCATCCCACGTGGGAGGCCCAGACTCCTCTGTTTCACAGCTTTTGTGTGTGAGGGCAAGGTGGGACTGTTTCTGTGGCTAGGGGAGGCATTATCTACGTAATACCCACCTTTAAGTCAGTATTGATTCATAGAAACTGATGTTAAGACACAGAGGTGAAGGTCCCTACCCAAGTTCACAGCAGAAAATGGCGAAAAGTCCAGAAAAGGCCTTGGAGGCTTCAGTCTTCAATTTGTGTGGGGTTTACTAAAGCCATACTTCCCTTACCTCACAATTCACGCTTTTCAGTGGTATTTGATTTATGCTATCCTACTACTTTATGCTCAGACTTTTTCTTTTCTGTGGATTTAGAGTCTCAGCAAAACCAGGCAAAACCCCTGGCAGGATGGAGTGTCGATCATTCATCCGAGGCCCTTTCTAAGAGGAAGAGGTCTGGGCTGCCTGCAAGGATGCTTCACATTTTGCTCCTTACTCAAGTCTGCACCAGGTCTGGGGGTGCTCCTCCATCTGCCATTGTGAGGCCCCCTTTACTGGCTACCGCCCTGGCCTCTTCCTAGCAAGGCCTAGTTAAGGTCAGACAGCATGACAAGGACAACCTGATTTCAGACATACAAATCGATCCAGTGTTTGAGGAGAGAGTGAGAAACGGTAGTAAGAAGCCTCACCCCCCTTCCCTCCGCCCCCCCCGCCCCCCCCCCCCGCCCCGGTAAGAACAGGGGTCTAAAATGAGTCTCCTGGGACACCTGGGTGGCTCAGCTGGTTAAGTGTCTGACTTCAGCTCAGGTCATGATCCCAGGGCCCTGGGATCGAGTCCCACATCGGGCTTCCTGCTCAGCAGGGAGCCTGCTTCTCCCCCTGCTTGTGCTCTCTCTCTCTCTCTCAGACAAATAAATAAATAAAATCTTTAAAAAAATAAAATAAAATGAGTCTCCTACCCGCCCACAGAGCTCCACAGCCTGTTCCATTTCCCTCCAGGCCAGCAGCAGCTTATCTGATGCTGGAAAAAAAAAATGTAGGGGAAAAAAAGAAAAACAAAATGAAAACACCACAAAACCAAAATAGAAACAAACAACTCAATTATAAGAGGCAAAAGAAACCTCAGGAAGAGGGGGGAAAAAAAAAGACAAGAATGGTCTCTCCACACGGATCGCAGAGAGTACACTCACTGATCCCAAACTCAGTTTGCTCACTGTACTTCTCCAGGTCAATCTGGATGCTGGTTTTAAAGAAGTCCAATTTGGCTTTGAGCTGCTGAGACATGGAAGCCATAGAGTTCTTCATCTTGGAGAGGCAGCTATTATTCCGAAGCAGATTCATCCTGCAGGGACCACAAGAAACAGAACCTTCGGGCATCCCTGGGATCCAAATACCATTTCCTATATAATACCAAAACCACCTCAAAGGCCAAGGCAGGTCCCTATTATAATTATTATTGTTGTAACAAAAGCAGCCACCTCTAATCATAAAGACAATTTCCTAGCCCTCGGTGAGCATGAGGTTCTGCACCAAAACTGGAATTAGGCACAGAACCACACCCAAGGGCCAATAACCCGGAGAGGGAGTCAGGCAGTCCCCGGCATGACAGTCAGGGGAGTTTTGCTGACCCAAATTGCCATAAGCTTTTCCACAGTCCAAATTCTGCCCCTAGTTCAGCCAGCCCGGCCCTCAGTTTATACTCCTGCTCCATGTGCTGACCTCACTCACCTCATAAAGTCAATCCTGCCCAGCCAACCACTTCCTGCCTGTCCAAACCAGTGTCTCCCTCTTGTCTCTCCTACCAGTGGCTTTCTGGGCCCCTCCCTGTGGCAAAAGCCACCAAGCAATTTAAAATAAGTGAAGTCCCAGACCGCCTGGTACAGTACATGGCAGCTCGCTGTCCCTGCTGCAGCCGGTTACAGTCCTCCCTCAGGGTTTGGATGCTGTGCCAGACCTGGCCCCACACCTTCCTCAGCTGGAAGAAAGACAGGTTCCTCTTGGGCTCTTGAACTGCAACAGAGACATATGCCACCGTCAGAAAATAACTGCCCTCACATTAACCATGTCCTACCTTGGTTAATGTGTACTCTCACATTTTTTAGTTATAGAACTGGTACTCAGTGAAGCGTCTGCCTTCAGCTCAGGTCATGATAACAGGGTCCTGGGATCGAGCCCTGCAATGGGCTCCCTGCTCAGTGGGGAGCCTGCTTCTCCCTCTCATTCTCCCTCTGTGCTCTCTTTCTCAAATAAATAAATAAAATCTTAAAAGAAGAAAAAAAGAACTACTATGCTATTACATAAGTTATTTGGGTGATAAGCCTGGTTACTGTCACATACATTTGTTTTTGCACTCCATTAATAGCACAAGCATGTACCAGTCAATAAATACCTATCGATTTGAAGAAACAGTCTGTGAACCATGTATAGACAATCACATGTATACAGGCTCACATGCTTTCAATAGAAACCTTTATGTTTATAACATTTAAAGTCACATGAACTTTTCCAAAAATTCAGCTTCAACCGGTAGTATTAGCATATGTTTAAACAAGCAGTAAGTCTGGAACTAAGACTTTGGACTCTTGATCTATTCTAAATGTGTGTGTGGGGGGGTAGTAATGCGGGAATGCATTAATATGTCCATCTAACACTCATACAATGGAATACTACACAAGCATTAGAAATTAGGGAGCTCATGGGGCGCATGGGTGGCTCAGTTGTTAAGTGTCTGCCTTCGGCTCAGGTCATGGTCCCAGGGTCCTGGGATCGAGCCCCGCATCAGGCTCCCTGCTCTGCAGGAAGCCTGCTTCTCCCTCTCCCACTCCCCCTGCTTGTGTTCCCTCTCTGGCTGTGTCTCTATCTGTCAAATAAATAAATAAAATCTTTAAAACAAAAAAAAAGAAATTAGGGAGCTCAGGGCACCTGGTGGCTCCACTGGCTGAGCAGCCGACTGGATTTTGACTCAGGTCATGATCTTAGGGTCCTGCGATCTAGCCCTGCTTCAGGTTCCAAGCTCAGTGGGGAGTCTGCTTGGGGATTCTCTCTCTCCCTCTCTCTCTGCCCCTCCCCCTGCTCCCACACACTCTCTCTCTCGAATGAATAAATCTTTAGAAAAAAGTTTTATTAAAAAAAAAAAAAGAAATTAGGCAGCTCTATATGCACCAACAGGGGAAAAAATCTCTAAAATATATTATTAAGTGAAAAAGACAGGTGCAGAACAGTACATGTTGTATGCTACCATTTGTTGGGGGAGATATATATATATATAAACTTTATATATGAGGAGAATACTCCCAGAAGATATATATACCCAAGAATCTGACAGGAGCAGTTTCCCTGGAAGAGACTGGGAAATTGGGAAGAGAGGATGGCTTATTTTTCACTGTTTATTCTTTTTGTACCTTTTGCTTTTTTTGTATCATATACATGTATTAATTATTAAAATATAAATAAAACTTCAAAAATAAATAAAATGGCCATCTGATTTGATCAAGTTCAGAGACTTGCAGGCAGTATTCTCTGTTCTGTGTTTAAAGTTCTACCTATGACACTGAAATTGAAGACTCCCTTTCCTCTTTTCTGGCTGGGCTACACAGAGGCCCCAAGTAAAGAAGGCTGCCCTGGGGACCAGGTAAGCTCATTTCCTTGGTGTGGACCCCCTCCCCTGGTCCATGTCTCTCCCTCCTCCTACCCCGTCCCAAGCATTACAAAAGATTATTTTTTTAAGAAAACAATGCTGTTCTTACGGATACAGCTGACACTTTCAGGTTGGGGCCGGGGGGAGATCTGAGTCTCATAGGCAATTTTACTGTTGTCAAACAGAAAGACGAGATCCATGTCCAGCGTGCGGCCCTCAATCAGCTGCAAAGGAATAAGAACAAGATGAGATCTTGTGGCTCCCAACCCTGCTTTTTCCAATTCATAACACAGGGATTTCAGAGCTTTTCCCACTGTTCACCAATGGCATCATCTTCAGCCAGCAAGTACTGAGTGCCCATGCAGGCTTTCTTCATGACTCCAGCCTAGATTTCCCTTTCCTGTTCCTTTTACACTTATTATCCAAATGTATGCCTTATTTACAACTTACTACTTTCTATCTATTCTCTGTTGTCTTTACTGTGCAATGTAGACATTCGCCATCTCCCTTCCTATCCAATGCTTGTTTCTCCTAAGTTGGCTTTATCAGTTCCTTGGGGCAGGGGCCGTGGCGTGCATAGCTGTGGCTGTCTGCACAGTTTTGTACCCGAGAGGTACACCGGACAAAGCTTTGGTTGACTCGGAGGAATGAAGCATTGCTTGGCAACAAAAGCAATGGAAAGGCACTCTGAGCGGTCTGGAAGTAACGAGTCAAGCGTGGAGGGACTCGTGTCTCCTGTGGGGCCATGCAGGGGATCTGACGTTCGAACTGAAAACACAGGCAGGTGTCTGCACTGTGTGACAAAGTAGAGCTGAAATCTGAACAGCTGGGAGGCGAAGTCCGAGGAACACAGGGCCTTCGGTGGGGAGCAGGGGCTCACCTTGCCATCTGAAATACACTGAGTGGCAGGCTTGTCAGGGATCAGCGCCAGCCCAGCTTCCTGCAGCAGCTCCTGGTCCTTCTCAGGGATTCCTGTGTCTTGCTGGATTCTGGCCTGCAAGCTCTGCAGACTCTCGTCCTCTGTCACTGGATAGGTGTGAATGATGCCTGTGACCATGTTCAAGATATGAACCAGCTGCAACACAACCCAGATGTTACTGGAAAAAACCCATCTTTAGAGAGAGGCCCGTCTATTTGCCTGGATCGTCTGCTGCTCCCAACATTCCCCAGCCACACAAAGAGAGCGGCTAGGCTAGCGGGAGGGAAGGGAGCCCCAGTGCCAAGGTTCATACATTCTGGTCTTTAATACTCCTGTTTGTCCACAGCTACTACCTCACAACCAACGTCAGTTGGCCCAGGCGCAGGCACTCTCACGGGGCCTCCCTTCCCACTGCTCAGATGGCCCACGACCTGCTTCTTAAGGCGCTCTTCTTTCTCCCAAGCCCTGCCACAGCCCATCGGGGACCTGACCTGCTGCCTCGAGGCTGACCCGGCTCCGCACTCACCTTCAGGTTTAAGATGTCATCCAGGGCCTTGAAGCAGCCGTTGGGCCCGTATACAGGATCGGTGCCCCTTTGTCGTGGGTGCCACATCAGCATCAGCTGCAGCCACTTCTCCAGTCGCTGTGCCAGGATGCTGAGGAGAACAAGAGCATGGTGTGGAAGGAGACAGCTCCAACACCGTTCTCAGGCAGCCTCCCACGCAACCTCACGTACATTCACCGCTACACACATCCGTGGCAGCCAGTATGTGATTACTGAAAATGAGTTAATCTGAGGGAAAGTGAACGTTTCCAGCCAAACTAATGATTCGGGTGCTTATCCCTTCGCCTGGTCTGCTATGACACCCCGAAAGCCAAGATTTCTTAACAGATGAGTCAACAGACTGATCTCCACCTGGCTGCATGAGAATGATCTGTGAAGCTCTTTGAATGCTGCAGGCATGTCCTACCTCCTGGTGAGCCCCACACACAAGCTAGATGCCATCCTGCCAGATTTGTTAATCCACGCCCCCCCCACCAAAAAAAAAACCACTCGTGGCCCCACAACAAAGTTTACACTCCTTCCTGGCCACAGGTCCTCCTTATGCAGGTGCTCTCAGCCTCCACAGAGGCCAACACCCTACTCACTGCCCCCTGGAATATGCCTTTGCTCCCCTCACTCCTTCCCCCTCAAACTTCCTTCCTCTTCATCTATCCATGTCCTGCACATCGTTCCAGATCCTTCCAGAAAGTTTCAGCTCATCCAAAGTCATTCCACACAGCTCTAGTCCACACGATACCTCTCTCCCCATTCTCTAAATACTCATGGTAATTATTATCCGTGCTACTCAGTTGTGTGACTGCCTTGCCACTTTCTTTTGTACTACTACCCAATGCTGATATTACTATTTAAGTGTTCACATTTGGGCTCTAAGACTAGAATATAATGCTGTTCAAACTACAAAGATCTATTTGTTGACTAAGACACAGTATGAGTCTACACAGGAGTGCAAAGAGAAGTAAAATATAATTCCCTACCCTGAAAAGGCTTACAGTTGAGGAGATAAGCCCTATGCAAAACCAAATGTAGTATGAGGTAAAACCAAATGTAATATGAGGTAGAAGCTACTAAGAGTGGTAAGAGGTACAGATCAATTGTTATGTGAATTTAGGAAAGAGATGATTTCTAGATGGGGTGAGGGGTGGGAATCCATTCTAAGTTTAAGATGGAGATGGTTATGTCAAGTCCCTAGTCACGGGATGCTATCCTAATAACCTCTTTAAAAGCTATCCGATGTCATTGCAGACATTTATTTGTAAAAGAGGAAGAGAACTACGTAGAGAAGCGCCACTGGGCCTTACCTGTTCAGATTATTGGGGTAGGGTAAGGAGCTTGAAAACTTCACCGCTCCATTCAAGTCCTCACTGACGACAATGTCCATCTCACTCTTCTGCCGGACTCTGGAATGCCTGCGAACGTGTCATCTCCTTAATTACAGCCTCTAAGTCACTTAATGGGCAAGATGCACTTTACATCTGTAACAGATCACTTTACAACTGTACGGGATACCCCCAGGTCGCGATTTTATCTTTGGGTGACAGTCAGTGCCTCAGGATCCTGCTAGGATGGCTTCTTTCAGAGCCGGAGGCTAGTCTGGACTGCCTGTGGGAGTGGAGGCAGCGACCATCCTGTGCCCAGAGCTCCATAGCCAGGACAGCCGACTCCTGATCTCGCCCTTAGCGTGTCTTCATCATTTCCTCTACTTTTCATTTTATCTCATACAAAATTCATGTTTTGACAGAGGATAAAATTAGAACTTCCAAACCAGGATCATTGCACGCGTATCACATTGATGGGCAATATGAACACATGCATGCACAACTCACATCCCTCTAAATGTAGATGGCTAGATGTTACCTCTAGTGGTGAAGGAACTTTTATATTTCCCAGTTTAGAGAACTCACGGATGCACTGATGCATCTGAAATAGTATTTGAAGGGGAAAAATTTGAAAGATTCTACTTATTTATTTGATAGAGACAACAGCGAGAGAGGGAACACAAGCAGGGGGAGTGGGAGAGGGAGAAGCAGGCTTCCCGCGGAGCAGGGAGCCCGATGCGGGGCTCGATCCCAGGACCCCGGGATCATGACCTGAGCCAAAGGCAGACGCTTAACGACTGAGCCACCCAGGCGTCCTGAAGGAGAAAAATTTTAAACCCGACTGGTTTCAAAGCTTTTTGGTGATGAGGAAAAGAACTTAAGTGTGAACAATGCTTCAAAGATAACCAATTACTGAGAGAGTGAAGTTTTTAAAAAGTTGTCTGAGGCATTACAAGGCACATGAGACAGACACTTCTCACAAACTAGTCCACTGAACAGCTCCTGACTGGGGGTCCAAGAAGACTACCTGAAAGTGTCATCTGGTCTTCCAGCACTGGTGAGGAGAGTTCTAAGAAGCGAATTCTGCAGACAACAGGCTTACTATAAAGATGCTGAGACATTAGAGATGTATTTTCAAATAGCACTTGTTCTTCCAGTTCGAGTGGATTTTTAACTCATCTTGTTAAAAATATTGGAAAAACTCAACATCTGAACTGCAGAAATGCAGTAATTCTTTGGTTAGTTAAAAACACTACTGATATACAGATAAAGTTATTTTTACGATGGCTAGAGTATCCGGTGTGACTATAAATTAATGAGCTAATTCCTCAATACTCCAGAACCTATGTAGCTCAACAAGTATTGCTTGTTTTAAAATAAATCACCAGAGGAGGGCATACTTTGCCATTTCACCAGACTCCTGAAGAGCAGGGACCTGGCTGCAATCATCTTTGCATTTCCAATGTTTGGCTTATACATATTGACTAAACTGGACTGCCATCACAAAAACCACTCTTCTGGAATGGATTTCCAAGGTTACATCTTATAAATAAATAATTCATGGGGCGCCTGGGTGGCTCAGATGGTTAAGCGTCTGCCTTCGGCTCAGGTCATGATCCCAGGGTCCTGGGATTGAGTCCCGCATCGGGCTCCCTGCTAGGCAGGGAGCCTGCTTCTCCCTCTGCCTCTCTCTCTCTCTCTCTGACTCTCATGAATAAATAAATAAAACATTAAAAAAAAAATTAAAAAAAAAAAAGAAAAAAAATAATTCATGATGCAAATACCTGTCCTTTGAAAAAGTTAATGTTTTCATTACTTCCAGAAAGCTATTTAGAAAAATGATAATAGCCAGTGCTGGCAGTGGTGTGGTGAAAGAGGCAGCTTTGTATGTTCCTGTGGAAACATTACTTATATAGCCTTTCTGTTGAGCATTTTAATACACATCAAAAACCTTTAAAATGTGCATAATCTTTGATCAGTTCATTCCACTTCTAGGGATATACAGGGATTTCCATACAAGGACATTATTCTTGGTGCTCTTTTAAGAAGTAAAAATTACAAACCACCCATGCTTCCAGCAACAAGGGATAAGTTAAAAAAAAATTCCAGTGTAGCCACTCAGTTGAATACCGAACAGACATTACAAATAATGGAAAAACATAAAGCCCTTTTCAATAGCAAGACTGAAAAAGAGGTTATATGAGGGTGTTTGTAGTAATTTATTTGTGGGTTTTTTAAAAGTATAACACATATACTGAAGAGCCTAGAGACACAAAAACGTCTGTGGTGGTTGTTTCTGGATTGTGTGAAGGAAATTTTCACGGTGTAGAAATGCTTTGAGAGCACTTGCGGAGCAGTTCACATTATGCTATCACTGATGTAAAAAAGGGGTGAAACACATAAATGAACCAACAGACAAATATAGGCCAATTTGCTTGTACCCATCTGAAACATCCCTGGAAGCACACACAAAACCAGTGGTATCAGGTGCCTGTGGGGAAGGAAGCCAGGTGGCTGGCAGGCTGGTCAGAGACGACTTTCAGTGCATACTCTTTCATTACTTTTGGAAGCTTGAACCATGTGAACTTATTACTGCTCCAAAAGGACAAACACTGGAAATAAAAACAAAATTTGGAGTAACAGTAGCATCATTCAAATTAGCATGTGGCCTCTCAAGGAACACTCCGAATGAAACCTGATTTAGGGAAATGTTAAGTTTTCGTACTATGCATTTTGGTAATGATTAACGTTCACATATACAATGAATACATATTTTTGTAATAAAAAAAGGTAAAGATATAATTTTTTAAAAACTTAATTATATCCTTCGGTTGTTATTAAGAAATCTTTTTTTTGGTAACTTATTTGTGTACATACTGGTTCATATTTTAAGCCACTTTCTTATGCTTTTGAAACAAAAATTTCTATTGAGGTACAGTAAAATATGTCAGTAATACATTTCCATGTAAATACTTCTCATTTGTCAGGTGTACATGTCCTTTTCTTACTAATACACAGCACCCGCAGCGGAAGTGCACGATGTACGCAACGGTCTGTAAACACGGCCATGTTACCACTGCACACACGGCAAACGTTCATACGGTGTTATATTTACAGACGTTAACACTTAACAACTGCTCTCCTTTTCTAGGACTCCGGAGCCTGGACCACCCACATGCTGGGTCCTAAAGGGACATGCTCTATGGGAGACAGATGACAGAGGTCTTAGGCTGGGAGCACCCAGTGAGATGGGAACAGGTGAAAGACATGACAAAGACAGAGGGACACACTCGCCCCTTCAGGGGGTGCTCCTGGCTCCACCCGCAGGCCCCAGCCCCTCACTCACCACTGTACGGGCTGCCAGTTAGGGAGAAAAGGTCGGAACCCCGTGATGCACTCAAAAGCCAAGGTGCCGAAGCTCCAGTAGTCCACGGTCACCGTGTACTTCTGCTGCTCCAGAAGTTCTGGGGCCTGTAGAAGAACATGTGGTGGGGAAGCACCTGAGCTGCTCCTGCTGCTGAGGAGCCTCCACAGGAGGGGGCAACAGGCCCTTCTCATCATGTCCCCCCATTCCCCTGACTCCATCCAGAGGACACTGGCACGTCCACACTCAAGGGGGAGGAGGTGACCACATGTGTAGCTGGGGGTATCTAGAATTTTTCTGTATCTCATGCAGGCCTGATGCTGATACAAGGGCCCCTGGGGGTATTTTTAGGTATACCAGAGCACATCATACACCCTTTTCTTGGGTGCCGTGTCCAGGTGGGAAGATAAGTTACATACAACAAAGGAAAATGATACCAGGCTAGACACACCAAATGCATAACACACACATTAAATGCTGACCACGTCTCCTAAACCGACGTGACTCAGGATGTGTGGTCGTACAATGGGATGGGATATTTATAATCAGGCAGGAAAAAAGCCAGATGCATGACTGCTGACCAAGCAGAGAGAGCTGGAGTGACCGAGCAAAGCTCTGAAGCACAGGTGGGAATGGAACCTGGCACAGAAGGCGGCACCTCACATGAGTGTCTGTGAAGAGACATTCTAGAAAGGACCGTCATAAGCAAAGGCAGGGAGACAGGACCGTGCACGGTCTGGTTAGAAGTGTGACACTTATGGAAAGGCCAGGGAGTGCAAACCATGAGGAAAAATTGGGGGATGGGCAGATCAATCTCTGTATCTGGTTATGGACAGAAGTTTTAGTTCTTGAAGGTGAAGGATTTGACTAAGCATCCTGGTCAGAGCATGGGGTCCCCCTGCTTAACTGCTGCTGAGCCCACGAGGATCTCAGAGGATGCTCAGCAGGACCTACATAATTATGGGATATGGACACAGGGCCCGAATCACAGCCCCCCCATGGGTCACCACTCTGAAACCTCCATTCCATAGAGCAGGTCATAAAGCAATGGAGCCCATTACCCTAGTTGGTGGGATAAGCAGGAAGCAGAAACGCACTCAGAGAGACTTCAAAGAATTTTTCTGTTTTATTTAAGAACTAGATAAAATATTTAAGCTCATTTAGCCCAGTGGCCTTCAACTTCTTCTTGTTTATTAAACTGCCAACCCTTTGATTCAATCAAAATTTTACTGGTTGTTACAATCCACAAGCAATCTATTACCAAGTCTTACTGAGTCTCTTGCTAGGCATTTCTTGACTTACCTGTGCTGCTTTTCACAACAGCCTCCTTACTACTCACCCACTATTTACTTGTTCAGTACAATTCGTTCTCCACACTGCATCAAGAATGATCTTTTCAAAGGGTAAACCCAATTCCTCTCCAAATTAAAACCCTTCAATGTCCTTCTGGCTCTCCATGGACTACATCCTTTGCTTCAATTTCCTCTCCTTTCCCCTACCTCCAGCCCCTTGCATCTATTCGTCCTTCGGTCCCAGACTAGGTGAGGTCCTCCTAATACATATTCTTATAACACCCTGCACTTCCCCTTTGTAGTACTTGTCACAATTTTAATTTCTTAGTTATCTGTGTAAGTGTGGGGTTAATGCCTGCTTTCTCACTAAACTCCAAGCTCCTAAAGACCAGGGAAATGCTTGTCTTCTTTACCAATCCATCGCCAGTTCCCAGCACAGTGCCTGGTAAACATAGACTATACTCAGTCAGTATTTTCTGAATGAATGAGTGACTCAAATAGAACACCAATGAATTCAGACCAAATAATGTAAAGAAGGGGTGGGGGGCTCAGAGCTCAGCTCCTTCTTGGTGGCCCGAGACATGTCATGGAAACTGTGGCTTCTACAAACCAGCATGAATCTAGTTTAAACTCTTTATTTTCAGATAAAATACTAAAGCCCAAGATGTTACGAGATGTGTGCGAGAGCACACACTAGCAAAGCCCTTTTGACATCAGAGAAGATGACCATATCTTTCCATTGGGCCTCCACTGGCAAAAAGTGCTGACTTGAACAGAGTATGTCTCTGTCATACAACAATTCCTATACATCTGGGAAACCTCTCAAGAGCTGGCAAGATTTTGATGCTAGAAGGCAAGGACAGAGAGGAGCCGCACACGTACAGCCATCAGAGAGCAGCTGATAAGCAAACATGTAAACCCCATCGCTTACCAGGTATTGCAGGGTCCCCACAAAGGAAGTACAAAGACTGCCCTGATCCAGTTCCTTGGCATATCCTAGGTCAATAATTTTGTGTATTAACTGAAAAAGAAGGAAAAATCGGAGGATTATGAGAATACACTGTCCTCCTATAAGAACAGATTGCTGACCAGAGCAGAGGATATTCTGAATTTCCCAGGTGGTGTTAGATCCTGAATTCCTAAGAACCATCAAATACACAGGAGACTGCCTTCAACATGGCAGATAGAGGGCAAGAGAAAACATACACGGTAAAAATGCTGAAAAAAGGCACATGTTCTCCTTTGCTCTGCAACTACTCACCAGAGGAAGGTCAAAATGAACGGACTCTGCACCAGCCCTCAAGATTGCTAAACCTGGACTTGATGAGGTGAAAGATCTCCTCAGTGAATACCCATAGTTCTCAAATCTTAGAACCACTGGCAAGAAAGAGTATGAACCGGAACCAAGGTGAGCACTAAGACAGTCATGGGTCAGGCCCAGAATGCTGATGGAAGCTCCACCAGAAGAGACTGAGTGGCCCGCAGGTTGGGTTACTATATTCCACTCGGCTGAGCCCTTGCTTGTCACCCCCAGCTAAACAAACAAGGCTATGAAAGGGTACAGCGCCAAGCCCCATGGGGAGGTAACCGCCACACCCAAGCAGGAGGGGCCCTGAGGAGGGTCCCAAAGAGCTCTGGGGAGACTGCAGGCTGGGCCAGGCTCTACGGGCAGGTGTCAGCTCCAAATGCCTCCTCTGCGTCACATCCAGAACCAGCTCAGAGCTGGTTTCCAGGTTAGCCTCAAAAGCTGTACTCTCGAACACAGAGAAAACAAAAAGTCTATTTCTCAGAGGGGCTGGTCCCAAAGGCTGGGGCGGAGGTGGGAATAGAAACATTATGTTCCTTATCAGATTCCTGCAACTTGGGCAACAATGTGATCCATTCAAATTTGCCTCCATCTGCAAGCAGGAGTTTTTTGCTGAATTCTGTTTCAAATCAAAAAGTGTTCACAGAGAATCAAAGCAAACACAAAGTCAAGGAAACACAAACATAAACAAAGACACAAAGGGTGTTCTTTCTCTGCTAGAGCAGCTCCCCTGAGGCAGTCCCCAGGACTTTCCAGGAAGGTGACTCACTCTTTGCTCTCCTTGCTGCAGGACGATGTTTTCTGGCTTTAGATCCCGATGGATGATTCTGTTTTCGTGAAGGTATCTAAGTGCAGAGGCTGAGAGGGTGGAAAGGGGGTCAATTTTCATTAAACCTACAAAATGTGTTTCACTTCAAAATCGCCTATCCTGTAAAAGATGAATATTGTGTGCCCCTGACACACACTCTCTCAGCGCAGACTCAGAGGGAGGGACAGGGCCTGGGGCAGAAGCTCCTGGGGTGACGTGAAGGGGGACCTGGTTACTCGAGCAGAATTTGGAGACCACAGGAATCTGGCTTTTTCGCACGAAGTCACCAATTAGTCTAGAGCCATGGTTTCCAAACTGCACTGCCAGACCAGCAGCGTCTGAGCTTGTGAGAAACGCAAAATTCTGCGGTACCACCCCAGACCTACTAACTCAGAAATGCAGGGGTGACCCCACAATCTGTGTTTTAACAAGATCTCAGGTGATGCTGATGAAGTCTGAGAAGGGGAAAGTCTCTGGTGTAGAAGCTCAAAAGTCTAAACTCCACAGGGTGGGTAAAGGAGAAGGGCCTTCTGGGCAGAGAGCACTCTGGTCTTCTGATCTAAAGTCCACTGATGTCCGAGCCAGCTTCAAGAAAGAAGTGGAGAGCCCTGAAGAAGAGACTAGGAGCACATTCCACGAATCTGACAGTTCAACACGTGTTTATTATGTGCTCAGTTCTCTGCTGGCTCTGGGAAGGACATAAAAGAAGAGGCATGACGGCCAAGAGCTCAGAATCCAGCTGGGAAGGAAGGAAGGAGCCTGCGCAACCCTGGCTGTGCAGAGATGTGAGCATGTTGTACGGGAGGGCCACGGCACAGAGCACCAGGGCTCCCGCTGCAGCAGGGCTCCCGCTGCAGCAGGGCTCCCGCTGCAGCAGGGCTCCAAGCCCGATGTGATCTGCACCCATGAAAGAGGTTTAATAACTTTAACAGAAGTCCTAGCTCAGTGTACTACAAAAGAAAAAAATGGGGTAAATACTGGAAGGTGATAAAATTATCTTTATTTGATATGACTTTATGATTAGAAACTCAAGAGACTGGGGCGCCTAGGTGGCTTGGTTGGTTAAGCGTCTGCCTTCAGCTCAGGTCATGATCACAGGGTCCTGGGATCGAGCCCCGAATCATGCTCCCTGCTCAGTGGAGAGTCTGCTTCTCCCTCTCCCTATGCCGCTCCCCCTGCTTGTGCTTGCTCTCTCTGTGTCAAATAAATAAAATCTTAAAAAAAAAAAAGTTTATGGCAACATGACGCTATACACAAAGTCAAGAGACAAAAAGTCTAGAAAAAAATAACTGCAACACACATGACAGCAAATATACCTAATGGACAAAAAGTTCTTACAAATCAGTAAGAAAGCAGCTCAGGAGAAAAGGGAGCAATTTACACAAGAAATGCAAATAGTGAACAACTCTGCACAAAGTTGCTTGAGCTCATGAGTAATCCACAAACTGCAAATTAAAGCAAAATGAAGAGTGGCTGGGTGGCTCAGATGATTAAGCGTCTGCCTTCGGCTCAGGTCATGATCTCAGGGTCCTGCGATTGAGCCCCATGTTGGGATCCCAGCTCAGCGGGGAGCCTGCTTCTCCCTCTGCCTCTGTTCATGCTCTCTCTCTGTATCTGTCTCAAATGAATAAATAAAATCTTTTAAAAAATACTTTAAAAATTAATAAAAATAAAACAAAATGAAATGCCTTCTTCCATCTCTTCAACCGGCAAGAATTTTAGATGAGAAATAAAAAGCATTTCCCTACATGGCTGAAGGAGTACAGATTGCTGTGCCTTTTTGGGAAATATGGCAATATCTATTAAGTCTTAAATGTACATATTGTTTGACCCATTATTTCCACCTCTAGTAATCTAGCTTATAAAGTCAAAAGCTCCATAACATATAGATAAGGATGCTTATTGCATAGCTTGGAGTAAAATACTTAGAAATGAACTGGAAGTCATCAATTAGGAACGGCTGGACCAACGATAACAGAGCCACGTTACAGCAGGCACTGGTCTCCAAATCTTTTACATTTATAGAGAACATAACTCAGAGATAATTCGAGTCAGAAGGATGTCAAAGATGGGGGGGGGTTGTTTTAAAAAGGTAATAAGCAATGGGGTGCTTGGGTAGCTCAATCAGTTAAGTGTCCAATTCTTGATTTTGGCTCAGGTCATGATCTCAGGGTTGCGAGACAGAGTCCCGTGTCGGGCTCCGTGCTGGGGGTGGAGCCTGCTTGGGATTCTCCCTTTCCTTCTCCCTCTGCCCCTCCCTGCTTGCACTCTCTCTCTTAAAAAGAAAATAAAATTTAAAAAGGTAATAAGCAAAGACAACACTAAGATGTTCAACAGTGAGGCTTCCCTGTGCTGCCACGCCCCCCTACACACACACACACACACTCTCACACTCTCTATCTCTCTCACTCACTCACTCATCACACCAGACAGAATGCAGGCAAACCAGGGATGTGGGCATTTTCTGTCTTCTCTGCAGAGCGGGAGAAGGCCTTCCACAGAAACCAAGCTGTCAAACACACTGCATAAAGACTTTCATGCTGAAGGTTTCCTGAAAACACTTCTGAAAATCCAACCCAGATAAACAAGTGACTTCCATCTTACTAGGGGAGTTCCATCGCAGAATATTAAGTTAATTACGAAACATCTAATTACATCTGCCCTTTTAACCCAGGCTTTGACCATATAGTTCCATATTTCATACTTGTTCCTTATTTTTCTTTTCTTTCATAACTGAATACAGAGGACTGGCTTAGGTCCAATGAATGTCCAAATGAAGTGAAAGTCATGCTGCAAAACATTCCACTCTATCTTGTTCCCAACTGTATTAACTTTTTTTTTTTTTTTTAAGATTTTATTTATTTATTTGACAGAGAGAGAGACAGCAAGAGGGAACACAGGCAGGGGGAATGGGAGAGGGAGAAGCAGGCCTCCCGCAGAGCAGGGAGCCCGATGCGGGGCTCGATCCCAGGACCCTGGGACCATGACCCGAGCCAAAGGCAGACGCTTAACGACTGAGCCACCCAGGCACCCCCCAACTGTATTAACTTTTAAAGACTGATGCTTCTGGAGGTGCTTGGGTTGCTCAGTCAGTTAAGCGTCTGCCTTCAGCTCAGGTCATGATCTCAGGGTCCTGGGATGGAGCCCCTGCATCAGGCTCCCTGCTCAGTGGGGAGTCTTCTTCTCCCCCTGCCTCCCTCCCACCCTACTTGTTCTCTCTCTCAAATAAATAAATAAAATCTTTAAAAAAAAAAAAAAAGACTGATGCTTCTGACCAGCACTTTCATTTGTTTTACTAATTTTTTTTTTCTTAGAGAAAGAGAGAGTGCAGGGTGGGGGAAGGGGCAGAGGAAGAGGGAGAGAATCTTTTTTTTTGAATGGATGCTTGAAAGCAATTTATTCTTTTTTTTTTGATGCAGTGTTCCATGATTCATTGTTTGTGCATAACACCCAGTGCTCCATGCAGAACGTGCCCTCTTTAATACCCATCACCAGGCTAACCCATCCTCCTACCGCCCCCCTCCCCTCTAGAACCCTCAGTTTGTTTTTCAGAGTCCATCGTCAGGGAGAGAGAGAATCTTAAGCAGACTATGCTGAGGCTGGAGCCCGACGTAGGGCTCGACCTCACAGCCCTGAGATCATGACTTGAGCCAAAATCAAGAGTTGGACGCTTAACCGACTGAGCCACCCAGGTGCCCCTGTGTTTTCCTAATTTTTATTAAAGAATCAAGGCAAAGTATAGCAAAACATTCGAATAACTGCACAAACACCACCTTGCACGCAGGGATGGTGCAACTGAAGCAGATCTCGTGGCTGGCTGTGAGCCCTGCGTGCAGTAACTCAACATGTGTGCACACTGACTGACTCACAACAGGCCCATTTTGGTATCTGACAAGAGTGTCAGGGCATGATCTCTAAAAGTGTGGGCCTGTTGCTCCAAACAGAATATATGAAAGTTAAGACAAACTGTGTTTTGAGCAAGTACATACACCCAGGCTAACATAACTCCTCTGAAGTCAGGTGTGCGCATCTCATCGCATATACCATGGGCCACAAGCTGGGGAGACGTCCCAAGAAGCCCCCCAGTGATGGAGAAGAACAGTCAGATCAGCCTGAAAGCACTATTCACTACACCGGGCTGATTAGGAAATATCATTTGATCTTTGGTGAGGAGGGATACAAGCTGGTAACTAATCCTCTGATTACCATTAATAGCTGTCTATTTATGTTTAAGCAACTGTGCATAACAAACTTTAACCCTCGTCTCAGGACATTTGTTCTCAAATACCTTTGTCAACTTAATATTACGTCCGGAAATAAAGAATTCTTCAAGTATTGTTATATGTAGTTTGTTGGACTGAATAAGATAGTCGAAATTTCGATAGGCAACAACTCTGAAACAGCTCCCCTTACTGAATCAGTCTGTAAAAGGCACAGCCTGTGTTGCATTTTACAAAATAGAACCTGAGGAGCAGTGTCACAGAATGAGTCAAACTTGTCTCGAGATGAGAGAACCTAATTTAATTGGATGGAAAAATGAGAATTTGAGATTAAGAAAAATACTTTTTGCACCTGAAAGTTTATAAAAAATCTAAACCCTTGGGTCGCCTGGGTGGCTCAGTCAGTTGGGCGTCTGCCTTCTGCTCGGGTCATGGGATCAAGTCCCACTTCAGGCTCTCTGCTCAGCGGGGAGCCTGCTTCTCCCTCTCCCTCTGGCTCCCCCTGCTTATGCTCTCTCTCAGATAAATATTAAAAAAAAAAAAATCTAAACCCTTAGTGATAGTGATAATACACGTGTATAAAAACTGAAAATCATACCACAATGCATAAAGCCTAAAAGTTAATTTCTCACATTCTAATTCTAGAAAAGAGTTGTAAGAAGTACTGACTCTTTGTGAACTTTTAAGCTACACAGTGACATTTCCTAGGAAAGACTGTAGAGAAGGTCCAGGTTAAGGGCTTGCCACAGGAGAACAACAGCCTTCTCTGTTATCCCTTTCAGGAACGGCAACCGGGTAGTTACCCCAACTTTCCCTTAGTTCATGAGAAG